AATGGCTCATCAGATTTTCAATATGTTAAGTTAAACCTAAAGAAAAAAATGACTATAGTACGAGGAGAAAAATTGAACAGAGATCACTAAATTCAGTTTCAAAATGGAACAGATGGGGAAAAAAAGATGTGTTGAGAGCCAGCGAGAATTAATGAACGTCGCACTTTAAGCAATACAAGAACTATTGGCGACGGATTTCACAATTCTGAACCATGACATTTCCTCTCTAAACTACCACACCACGCCTACGAGAGAACTTTAAAAGCCACGACAAATTTAACATGCGACAGTTCCTCTACACAATGGATCTTCAGTGTGGCACTAGATATCGACATCATGACACGCCGGGCGCAAGTTCGTGACCATGACCACTAGGCAACCCCGGCCATAAATGTGAGCTTAGAAGTGAAAATCAAAGGATTAATGAGCTGCTTTTTAAAATAAGAAATGTGGAAATAAGATTAGTAATAAAGCATCCAAACAAAAATTTAAAAACATGTCTATTGTATTGGATATAATAATACTGTATAAATATATCTATTGTACTGGATGTAATAATGCTGTGTATTGGATATAATAATGATAAAAGATTCACACAAATTTTTCGATTTTCAATTTAAAAACATTTTAAACATAAAACCATGTATTTACATTTCTCCTATATCCAGCAATGTGCAAAAAGAAGAAAAAAATACGAGATAAAAAAAAGAGGTCAGTTTTTCGCTGATTAGTAGGATTAAATATTTCAAATTAATTTATTGAAACTTTAAATGTGTGTTTTTCTAAATGAATTTTGTTCGCTTTCAATAAGGAAGGAATTTTTGAGCAATACTGTTCAACATGTGTACGTAGTAAACCTTTTAGGTTTTTAGTGCACAAATATTTACATTTATAGCGCAATAATTCGGAATTTTTCAGCTGTGAGTGAGTGAATATTAACGTCGCATTATTTACCACTAGGCTACCGTGGCCACAAATACTCAAACTATTTGCATCTTGTTTCGAAATAAGAGCCACGATGAGCGAACGGATATAATAGGATACTTCATTGATAAAGTGACATTAAAATCCAGTGAGTGATTGAGTGAATGTATTAACGTCACACTGTTCAGCTACACGAGAGCTATTGGTGACGGACCTCGTAATTTTGAACCGTGGTCAAGTGACGTGGACGACACCTGAGCTGGCAGACCCTCTCCTAACTACCACGGGAGGACGTTTGAGCTCTCGACAGATTGAACGTGCATCGCTTCCCTACGCTGCGGGTATTTAATGTGGTACTGGGCTCAAACTCGCGACAAGGCCAGCCAAGATCCGATACCTTAACCACTCGGCTACCACGGCCCTTTTTCAGCTGTGAAATAATTAAAAATATTAAATTTCTCTTATTACTAGACTTCAGAAGTCAACAATTAGTACCACCATTAAGGTGAACAAAATAAAATTCTATACATATACTTCCAACAAACGTTAAACATTAAAAAAAAACTTTTAAACGTACTTCGAAAAAAAAATCATCAAACACAAACTGGTGTTAAAATGTTACATTAATACAACAAATATTTCTGATGTTCAAACATTTATTTCCAACCCTTAAATTTTCTTCGTTCAACACGGGAAATTAAAAATTGAATAAAAAGACCATGTAGATCAGGAGTGTCAAACTCGCGGCCGACAGCGAACATTTTTGCGGCCCTGTCAATACATCATCACACGATAATATATAATAAAACAAGAAATATAAAAAAAAAGTCAATTCCTACTTAGATCAACAAAGAAAAATTTTATTTTTAACTACTTTTTATTAATTACTTACAATTAATATAAATATGTATATACATATGACAGAATCACAACATTAAGTGATAATTAATTTTTATTCATTATCATTAAAGTATCGTATTGTCATCCAAAACAATCATGTATATAAAGTTTCAGTTCAACTGAATGCTTTAAAACGTGAGGAAAAAATCTTTTAAAGTTTTGACCCAAGTCGCTAAAAATGAAACCAATGTGGCTGTACTTGTAATTACTTAAATAATTAATTTCAGTTAATTAATTTTAATTAATTATAATTAAATTATCGTATTTTTACCCAAAACAATAGAGTATAGAAAATTTCAGCTCAAATGAGTGCTTTAAAACGTGAGAAAAAACTTTTTCAAGTTTTGACACAAGTCATCCAAAGGGTCACTAAGTTACCAAAAGTGATGCCAACGTGGCTGTATTTGTAATTCTTTAAATAATTAATTTTAATCAATTAATTTTTATTAATTATAATTAAATTATTGTATTGTCATCCAAAATAATCGTGTGTATAAAATTTCAGCTCAATTGAGCGCTTTAAACTGTATTTTATTAACGATTGAAAATTCCGCCAAAATAAATAAATAGAGAGTGAGCTAATAGTAGGAATTGAATTAAAAAAAATCTCCCGAAATAGAAAAAATAGTAGCAGAGAAGGGGGATGTCAGTGCCAGTACTTAATCATTAATTTTTTTTTGTTCTTTTATGTATGTTTATTATAATATATTATTCGAAATAATTCTACGTTACTATGAATATTGATTTTTTTGCGACCCACCTAGAGTTAAACCTTTTTTGTTCGGCCCAAGTTAGTCAGAGTTTGACACCCTTGATGTTGATATTTCTAAATTCACTGGAAATCAAGAGTCTGACTTAAGTGGCAAACAGGAATTCAGTTACAGAACATTAAACCACCCAGAAGATGTTTATCTGGAAAACATATGACTAACAGGTTTCAAAAATTTTAATTCGATAACGCATACATCATCATTATAAAATCTCAAGTTCAAAATTTAGCTTCAACATCATTGTATTCATTCGACAGGGTATATCAATTTTCAATCTCAACATATCTAATCAGAAACGTAAATATAAAAAAGAATTCTACCGCATACTCTAAAAGTCGCATCATTATTAGAAACTTAATTCTTAAGCCGAATAATGGTGGAACAATTGTTTTTATCTTTTTTGAAACAGTTAATCTTTTAAACAGATCTTGTTCAAAGTTCGAGTTCAACTATTATGTTCGTGAAACAAAGTTCAAAAATAAATTTATCATTTTTAATCATAGTATTTCCTAAAAAGGTGCATCTGTCTTAAGAAATAAATATAGCAAGATTTTGACAGAGCGTAAACAAATGATAGGATCGAACAAAAGGTCCAACTCTTTCCTCTAGCAAAGATAATGGGTAAAATCCTAGATTAGTCCCCAAAATTTTTTGCCGCCCAAACACAATTTTCCAATAGAAATAAACAAAACAATTCGTCAAAAGAAATCAGATAATCCTACCCGTAACTATGCTGTCAAACGTTCATTCATACAACAATCAAACACTTCTTTCTAATGGCATACACAAGAGGGGTGGGGGTGGAGATTCATTCTCCCATAGACAAACCGATTTTTAATTTTAACCACAGATATTACCACTCGGTGCTTTCGTATACGTGTTTTTTTTACGATTGTAACCCCTCTTTCTTCCATAAGAGAGAGATTTGTGTACCCTACTGCTTCTTTATACCTCTTTTATACCTCTCTTCATTCAAAAGTAGAAAAAAATTCACCATTGGGCCACATTTTTGTCGCCAAAGTGGTTAAGCTAGGATCTTGACGAATTTTTTGTTTAAATAAATAAGAAAACCAGTTTGAAAAATTTTGATGAGTAACAACATTGAATAAGTACGTTTCTTATTCGAAAGATATCGATGCGTATTTTAATGAAACTGTACATTATGTAAAATGTAACTTTTACTAAGAAAATAACAATTATAATTATAGAAATATAAGTTCTCAATTCAATACTTGATTAAATTAAAACACGTACAAACTAAACAGAATTTGGGGAACAGAACACTTTATTGTATTATTAATTTTCTCCAAAATTCGTTTAAAAAACGAACGCATTACGAAATTAATTCTGAGATAAATTCTTGAGAATTTGATTTTTTTTAAATTGATGGGTTTTTTTTCTAAAATTACACAATGGGCAGCCTAAAAATGCCTCGGTCATTTTAGACATTAGTAAAGTGAAAAGGGTAACATTTCAGCTAGTTTACACAACATGTATGAATTCAGAGACCCTAAAATTGAACCAAGCATGTACTCGACACTTGAACCCACGATATTTGACGAACCAACTAAACTATACCGTGGCTGCTCTGTCGATTTTTATTTTTTGATAAACGTTTACGTTTTAAACGCTTTTTAAGGATCTGAAATCCCGCAGTTAGCATCACTTATATTGACTTACCACATCTGGCAACAGTTGTGTTTAGTCAGGAGAATGGCCAAACGCAAAGGAGACGGTACAGAAAAACCGAAAAAGTCGAGACATACGAGCGGAAGGAATACCAGGGAGAAAGATAGAAAAAAAATTTTCCGGATGCTGTTAATGATAAACTGATCTATTATTTGCGAGTTACTGCATATGTGTAGTGTCGCGCTTCAATATAAATAATTGTAATAAAAATATTTAGGACTATGCAGTAGCTCCTCGTACTTTTGATAATGGAACATGCCAACACTGATTTATCTCAACCCTACAAAATTTAAAATAAAGAAGGGTCCTTTATCACACTTCAACTTGTGTCAAATTAAAACATGAACTGAAGTATTTCATTTGATATACATAATCATAAAGAATTCTTTTTGCCAACCTTTTTTTACCTTAAAATCCTAAAAATACACCACTCCTCTTTTCGATATAAATAGAAACCTTTGAAAATTCATTAATAACAAATAATATAAAAAAAAAATTAAGTCAATTCCTACTTAGATCAACAAAGAGAAATTTTTTATTTTAGTTACTTTTTATTAAATAATTACAATTATATAAATATATACATACATAAGACAGAATAATATTAAGTGACAAAATAGAAAGTGATTTTCAATTTTACTTTCTATGTATGGTGTTGTACTATTTTTTGTTTGTTACTATTTATTCATTGATAAATAACATTCTCAGAAATTAGGCCATCCCAGGTAGGTTTCGAACCCACAATATTTGGATTAGCAGTTCAACACGCTATCCATTGCGTTACAGGGACACAACGAGTGATTTTCCTTTTTATAAATGTTATTGGGACTATTATTTTCTGTTGGTTAGTATTTATTCTTTAATTACATTTAATTAATGAATTATATTTGAAAAAAAATCTATTAACATCAAACCACTACAAGTTTAGAAAAATGTATTTGAACTTGAATGGATGAATAAAAAGTATATTAACGATTGAAAAATTGAACGATATATATATATATATATATATATATATATATATATATATATATATATATATATATATATATATATATATATATATATATATATACAGAGAGAGAGAAAGAACTATAATAGTAGGAATTGAAAAATAAAAAAGAACATCCTTATAAAAGAACAAACGCACTCGCTAATGTGAAATCTCAGAAATATTACTGTCTTCAAAAAGTACATTGGATGTCGTCACAAAACAAAAATATCGATTACCAAGCTGAAAAATCTGCAAAATTATTTAGTTAGTAAAAGATTTGTTTAAGCTATTAGTTGTCTTGTATATGTTCAGTTTTCTGCCATTTTTTCCAAATAATTTAAATTGTAAAATCAATTGATGGTGAGAACCATATTTGGTTACGTTGCGATAAACATTCGTTAAATTTACAAATATCACGCAAGCCTGATGTAGACAAATTACTGCAAACGCAAGAAAAGGAAATACAGTCGAAAATAGTGAAAGATCGCTATAAGTATTCCGAAGGTGCATCCCCTATGAATCAAATATAATGAAAGAAAATAAAAGGTATATAAATAAATAAAATCATGGGACAGTGGAAGAAACAAAGATGCCCCTCAGGCACCTTATACCTGCAAATTTCGTACTTACCGTAAAAACCGGCGTATATCACGCACCTATACTTTCAAGCAGCATTTTTTTATTTTTAGGAATATTCGCCGTATAACGCGCGCCTACTTTTTAAAGGGTGTTTTTTGAGAGGTATAGAACTTTAAATTGCAATAAAACAACGATGTATTATTCGATTGACATGAATTTTTTATTCGAAAGATAATCTTGTGGCATTACATTTTAAATATGATTTCTGGCATAGGACTGCCACGGATGTAGTCCAATCTGGACGTCCAATTTTCGATGACTTTTTCCAACATTTGTGGCCGTATATCGGCAATAACACGGCGAATGTTGTCTTCCAAATGGTCAAGCGTTTGTGGCTTATCCGCATAGACCAATGACTTTACATAGCCCCACAGAAAATAGTCTAGCGGTGTTAAATCACAAGATCTTGGAGGCCAATTCACAGGTCCAAAACGTGAAATTAGGCGGTCACCAAACGTGTCTTTCAATAAATCGATTGTGGCACGAGCTGTGTGACACGTTGCACCGTCTTGTTGGAACCACAGCTCCTGGACATCATGATTGTTCAATTCAGGAATGAAAAAGTTAGTAATCATGGCTCTATACCGATCACCATTGACTGTAACGTTGTGGCCTTCATCGTTTTTGAAAAAGGATTCCACCAGCCCATAAAGCGCACCAAACAGTCAGTTTTTCGGGATATAACGGTGTTTCGACATACACTTGTGGATTAGCTTCACTCCAAATGCGGCAGTTTTGTTTGTTGACGTAGCCATTCAACCAGAAGTGCGTTTCATCGCTAAACAAAATTCGCTAATGAAAATTCCGCACAGAACCATTATTTTCGAATTAAAATTGCACAATTTGAAAGCGTTGTTCAGGCGTGAGTCTATTCATGATGAATTGCCAAACCAAACTGAGAATAAATCATATGACAGCTGTTAAATCGGTCGCCATCTTGGAAAGTAATGCCAACTTAAACTTCTATACCTGGAAAAAACACTCTGTACAAAGAATCCTGAAATGTACGTATGCAATACGGTTACGATTTGAAGCAATTTATTCAAGGTTCCTAAAGCGTTAGAAAAAATAGTAAATTTCTAGAATGACAACCCTTTAACTTCATAAGAAATGTCATTTCTTTCAAATAAACATATTTCGATACATGTAGAAGTCAATCCTTTTTTATGCTCATCTCTTTTTGTTATCTTTAAAGTTCTTATTTTCATACCCGGCGAAAAACGCGCACCCTTGAATTTCGATCTTATTTTTGCGTTAAAAGTGCGCGTTATACGCCGGATTTTACGGTATATAAACTAGGTAAACCTTTGAGGCCCAAATAAAAGTCAGACCTCATAACTCTAATTCAAACATGAAGTTTAAATGAACTCTTTTTATTAAGTATCAGACAAAAATAGTGGCCTGATTCTATATGATTGTGTGGAAGATAATAGCTCTGTAAAAAAAAATAATCAATTTTTTAATATTTTTGAATGAATTAAAAATAGCTGAATAAACTAGTACATAATCAATAAATAAATTAATACCCTAAAACCATACATTCTAGGCCAATTTTGAAGGAAAAAATACCTTTCCTATTCATATAGCGATCGAACCTTTTTTAAGTAAAAAAAAACTAAAAAACACATCTCTTACTAAAAACTCATTTCGCTGTCATACGAAAATATATAACGCTAGCAAAACCTGGTAACTTTTTTTAAACCCAGAGTTATGAAGACATAAAATAAATGCTATCGTAATGTTAACAAATTCGATAAGACTGTCTGACAAATTCTTCGCCAAATGTTATTGACAGATTCCAACTTTCTCCACCAGTTCTTTTCTATGTATAAAATCGAAATGAAACTCAGGGAGAAAATACATCTTTTCGCCGAAGTGGCCATAAAAGAAAAGGAACACAATGGCAGCGACAATTTTCTTGTCTATTACACCAAGATCTGTAACTTTTGATAGAAGAGTCTTTTTGTAACAAGTCTATACAAGAGAAAAAGGGGATTAGATAGAGTAATAAAAGAATCAATGTATAGAAATTGTAACCGAAACCTAATAAAATATGAAATGGAAAGAAAACAGAAGGGAAAAAGGAATTTCTCCTTTAACTTCAGGAGTCAATTTGAGCGAGTGTTTTATTGGCGTCGCCCTCAGTGACGTAACGGAGAATATGAGGGGCCCGTGCAAAATTAGCTTTTGGGCCCCAAGTCGGATCTTACAGAGGATAACAACTTGGTATCAGTCAAACTTTGGGCCCCCTAGAACAGTGTTCCGCAACCTTTTTATCGCCGCGGACCGGTCAACGCTTGTTAATTTTACCGCGGTCCGCTGAGGTGAAAACGTTGATTGCTTATATTTTAGACTGCTTTGATTTAATAATTTTAATTCAATTGTATTTAGTTGTGACATTAGAATAAAATATAGCTACACCAAAAAATGAATATAAAGTGATTTAACAAGGAATATAAAGTGATTTTCATAAAAAGTAGCTCAAATCCAAGAAAAACATACCACAGTAAATAATTTAATGTTTCTTCTGCGGCCTGGTACATTGATCCACGGCCCGGGACCGGAGGTTGCGGAACACTGTCCTAGAATACTGCCCTCCCCCGCAATGCGGGTGTGTGCATTACGCTATTGTTCGCACTGTAAGGCAACACGGGAGATATTGGCGAAATACCTCAGAATTTTGTTGACAGTTGAGTCGTATGCTGCCTTCATGTAAACGGTAACGAAATTATTATGATTGGATTGTGATTTGATAGACTGAGCGACATGGGATCACATATATGTCAGGATTGCTTCAATTACCTGCAGTGAATGTGAAATTTACACTTTTATATTTCATATAGTACTGATGTACAATGGAAATTTTATAAATTATTTTAAAGAAATGATGGAAAATTCTCATCAGGAGAGGATGACTATATTTTGCTTTATGTCAAAATTCGGAACGTTCCTCTGGTTTTTGAAATGTGATTTTTATTTAATTTTTTCTGCTTCAAAAAAAAGTAAAGTTCATTTTTAAAATAAGAGACTGATTATTTCGATGGCATCTATTTTTACTGTTACATAAAGATATGCAAAAACTCTGTAAATACAAGAAAGAATTAAATGATATGGGAAAAATTTAGACGGGTTAATAAATCACTCGGAAATCCGAAAGGCGTGGGGGCCTCTGTGCATTCACCAGAAGGTAAAATGCACATGGGGACGAAAGGAAAAATCCTTAAGGCTCTTAAGGTGGTCCGGCACATGAATTTTTGAAAAATTATCGATCTTGACTTGTTCACATTTTTTAAAAGTTCAAACATTTCTGCTTAAAATGATATATGATATATAGAAATGCGATAATTAGAAGTGTTTTTATTTATTTTTTAAAACTAAGTCACTTTCATTGACAAATTATAAATCTTTACTTTAAAAGCCTGTTTTCTCAAAATGCAATATTTTTCTCTTTAAGGACCTTTTTCTCAAAAACAAATTAATGTAGGATCCTGAAAATTTCAGTGAGCTTACTTTCAACATGCTTACACATTTTAATGGAGGGAATAAGATATATCTAGCGAACTGTTTTAGATAATGTATTTTTAAACTAAATTTTAAGGAAAAAAATTGGCATTTTTAAAAAAAATTCATAATTATTTTAATTTTTAACAAAAAGACACAACCCTCCATTAAAGTCTTATTGATAGTACATATAACCTACAGTGAAAAAGTCATATATTAGTATATATAGCTAGAAGTTTCTGAGAAAAAGGTACATAAACTTTGTGATATTCTCCCCTCGGGTGAACATCTCTTTGAGTATCAGCGTGAGCTAGAGGCGTAGGATTAACGGAAGAACTAGAAACATACATTATCTTAATATAGCTTTATTAAGATTTTGAACTTAATCGTTTAACAAATTAGATTATAATAATATATGTAAGAGAATCTCTACGGTGGCAAAGCACACAATATATATATAATGCCGAATTAACCTAACCCGGACCACTCACAATTACTGTGACTCATCTAAACTCAATTACAATGCTATTACAGATCCTAATAGTGAATAGTCAATCCTACCTTGCTGTAGTCTGAAGAATCGATCACTGCAATCTTAGATGGAGGCGTGTAAATGCTCGAGTGAAATGGTATGCACCTTGACTCACTGTATATCT